GAACCAGCATACCCCTCGTTTAGGGATATGAGTACTGCAGTGGTGCCATAAAGGCTATATAAAGAGAGCTCTACCCATGAGTTAAACTCTTGTACAAGGTTGAAGTACTCAGGGCCCGCTTCAGGAAACCTGAAGGGCACCTCCTGACCCTGGTCCCAGGGCCCCCTTCGCTTCGGGGCTCTTTATTATTGTCACGCAAGCAGCCCCCTTCCTGCCATTCTTGGGTCCCCCACGGTGGAGGATCTCCAGGGTTTCAGTCACATGTCAACCCCTTGTAACCCTGGTGGTTCTCCCCCATTGTGTTCCCTGTATTTAGGCACGTTTGCCATAAATGTTATAGATTTCCCAGCATGGTTGCCAACTCCCTTCCAACTGGCTTTTGATAACTAGGATGTTCCTACAGGCTCGCGCATGGACCCTCGAGCGAGATTGACCCAGACAAGGGGGGATAGAGCTGCAGTGGTGCAGGAAGAGAGCTACTGAAGAACAGTACTGACTAACCTTGGGGGGGCTAGGGGGGCTACTAGGGGAGAGGTGCCTGGGGTCCCAGACATGTATGTCGGCGCTTGAAGAAGAGAAAGTTTCAAAGAATTACTGGCAGTGATTTGGGGGGGGGGAGAGGATGTTGTATGTGCTAGAGGGCACTTTGTGGAGGGGAAGGATATGTGCTAGGGGGGGGGGGGTTGAATATAAGATCCTGAACCCCAACCAGGGGCGGACTGACCCATTTGGAAACTAGGGGGGCACTGCCGGGGGGCCCCATGAGATGCCCCTGGTACCTTTTTCATAGGCTTTTTTGAGTTTTGTGCAAGGACACAGGGGCCCCATGAGTTGTCAGTCCACTCCTGACCCCAACCAAGCACATAGTCCTCTCCCCTCCCAAAGTGCCTCCTAGCACATACAGCATCCTCTTACCCCCTAAATGGTGCTAAAAGGTTAGCACTTCTGCCTGGCAGTACTAGGGTTTGCTGGTTCGAATACCATCCACCGCACCACCTGCCTGGAGTTTTTATATGTTCTCCCTGTCCCTGCGTTGGGTTTCCTCCAGGTACTCCAGTTTTCCTCCCACATTCCAAAGACATGCTGGTAGGTTAATTGGCTCCTGTTAAATTGTCCCTAGTATGTGTATGTATAGGAATGTGAGTTAGGGAGCTAGATTGTACGCCCCTTGAGGGTTAGGGGACTGATTGTGAATGTACAATATATATGTAAAGCGCGGCTTAAATATTGATGGTGCGATACAAGTACCTGAAATAATAATTAGGAATTCTGTGAACAACTTTTCCCCCCTTCCCTGCAACTGTCAGGTGTACCGCATTCAGATCAGCAGCAGGACCATGTAAAGCTGTGTATAGGAAAACATTGGAGCCGAGAGGAGGGGGCTGCAGTCCGTGTGTTAGGCTGTCCATGAATTATACAATTTTCTGTCCAATTTCTGCACCAGATTTACCTTCAACTATGTAGTGCAAGAGCCCGCCTAATTGGATACAATTGAAAGTGTTGTTGGGTTTGACCTCCTATTATATGGTTTTTGGTAAATCTAAACCAAATATCTCAAGAAAATTGTATAATGCATGGCCAGCCTTAGTCTAGGTTCACACCTAAGCGTTTTATGGTGCATTTTGTATTTTTCAGAAACTCACTACAGTCCATTTAACATGATTTCCTATGGGACAGGTTCACTTCTCTGCGTTTTTACCCGGTGATCTTTTTTTATTTTTTTAAAAAAGTCAGGGGATTTTTTTTAAAATGCAAAACGTTGCGTTTTGGTTCAATAGACTTCAATGGAGACGTTGTAGCCTTTTTAAAAAATAAAAAAAAAAAAAATAAATAAAATAAAAAAAAAAAAATGAATAAAAAAATGATACGTTTTGCCTAAAAAAAAAAAAAATTTAATGTGCCCACCACAAGTTGGCAAAAAAAAACCACAGCAGAACGCATGTACAAAAAACGCACCGCAAAAAACTGCAGAAACGGGATCACAAGCACAAACTGCATAGGTGTGAACCTAGCCTCAGTCGAGGTTCACACCTAAGCGCTTTGCATTTTTGCAGAAACGCACTACAGTCCATTTAACATGATTTCCTATGAGCGGCAGGTTCACATCTCCGCGTTTTTACTTGGTGCGTTTTTTGGAAAGGGTCAGGGGACTTTTTTTGAATGTAAAAAGGTGCGTTTTTGGTTCTACAGACTTCAATGGAAACCGCTGCAGAAAGAAAGAAATTGTGTGTTGGTTCAAATAGTCCTCAATAAAGACGCTGCAGAAATACATGTATTGCGTTTTTTTTATGTTTTTTTTTTTTTGCGTTTTAAATCTGCCCAGCAAAAGTTGGCAAAAAAAAACCCTCAAAATGCATAAAAAACGCATATGCAAAACGCACCACAAAAAGCACTACAGAAACGGATTAAATGCAAACTGCATAGATGTGAACCTGAGCCTTAGTGTGAGGCAGGGGTGGGGGAGAAAGAGAGATGCAGCTGCCATACAAATCGCAGAGTGTGGGACCCGAAATACCCTGTGCAAGCTGCAGGCAGTGTTACTGGTGCCCCCACCAGGAAAGTCATTGGAACCGGACTCTTTCCTGCTGTCTTGGGCGCCCTTGCAGAGCAGAATGCCCAGGGCCCAGTCGTTATGTGCGATTGCTGCGACTAGCATTGCCACCTCTACCCTTTCAAAGCAGAATACATATTAATTACACAGGTTCTGAGGTTAATTCAATGCAGATAAGGTATTAATTGAGTTTAATTACCACCTTAATCAGCCCCAGAACCTGTGAATTAACCACTTTCCAGTCCGGACACTTTCACCCCCTTCCTGTCCAGGCCAATTTCAGCTTTCAGCACTATCACACACTTTGAATGTGACAATTGCGCGCGGTCATGCAACACTGTACCCCCTATGAATTTTTTAGCATTTGTTTTAGACAGATAAAAGTTTATGTTGGTGTATATACTCACCACTGGGATTTTAAAAATTAAAAAGTCCCCAAACATATTGAAAAAAAAAAGTGTTTTTCTTCTAAATTTTGCAAATAAATAATCTTCATAAAATCTTGTCCAAAATGTATTCAACTATCTTCTTAGTAAAAAAAAAAGTAACCCAAATTAGTTTATAACCAAAAATTATAATTTTTCTAAAAAAATTTTCACATTTTATTGTATTTTTTTATATTATATTTTTGTTTTTTTATTTATTATTATTTATTATTTTATGATTACTAGGCATTATATTAACATACTGTTACCCAGCTAGTACAGTGTTCACCATAGTGACACTGTACTACTCGTGGGGGGCGAAGAAGATAGTTTTTTATTTTTTTTTTTGTGTTACACTGATTGCTCTTTACACCCATAAAGGCTGTAAAAGCAATCATTTCTCCTTCTCTCCTGGCTGCCATTCTTGCAGCCATTGAGTAATACTGTGAGAGCTGTGATTGGTCACATCACAGCTTGTCACATGGTACAAGGCTGTTGTGAATAGCCCTGTAACCATGTGATCTCTGTGATCATTCACAATTATACTAACGGTAAAGCAAATGATGTCAGGAAAGTGACATCTTGTTTATTCTGTGATCACTGATTGGCCAGTCAGAGATCACATGAATCGGGACCTCCAAGGGAGCGTGCACAGGCAGTGAATGCAGGGGCCGTTTATAAACGGAGACCCACTTCAGCACTGCTCCCATGGAGGAAAGAGAAGCATTCTCTCTCTCTCTCTCTCTCTCTCTCTCTCTCTCTCTCTCTCTCTCTCTCTCTCGGAACTCTCTCTACTCTCTCTCTCCTCATCTCTCTCTCTCTCTCTCTCTCTCTCTCTCTCTCTCTCTGTCTGTCTGTCTGTCTGTCCTGTCCTTTTACAGAGGGAAAAAGAAAATTTGTGTTTTTGTAAAAATAAAATAATTATAAATAAAATGAAATATACCTAGATCAAGGTTTGATCTAGGTCAGTGGCCAGGGTTAATGTTTGAGCCAAGGTCAGGGTCAGGTTTCTTTTTGAAAAAAAAAATTTTTCCAGGATTTTTTTTTTTTTTTAAATTACTGTGTCAGTAGCAGGTAAAAAAAAAAGCAAAATGCGCATCGTTGTTTCTGGGCCATACTACGGGTACAAACAACAACATAACATACCAGGGGCGGCTGACCATTTGGAAACTCGGGCAGTGCCCGAGGGCCCACGGTCATGTAGGGTGCCCCATAGATTGCCCCTGGTACCTTTTTCATAGGCTTTTTTGAGTTTGGGCAAGGACACAGGGGCCCCATGATCCCCCTATTGCCCGGGGGCCCCATGAGTTGTCAGTCCGCCCCTGTAACATACACATATGTGGTATTATACAGCGATCATCTGGAGCAAGATAAATTATTTTGAGTGTCTTTAGTGATTGGTTATGGTTGTAGCTAGAAATATACAACTTAACAAAATAGGTTTTTTTTTTACTATTTTGGGTCAGTTTTCCTTTGATAATAAAAAAAATCAGAAGATATCCATTACCATTCACCACAAAATGAAGCCCAATTTGTCCTGAAAAAAAAAAACAAGATATAATCCACCCGGATAAATAAAGTAGTTGTGATGTTATAGGGAATGGTTTTTAATAACATGTCAACGTTGCAAAATTGTGCTTAGGCTTTAAGATTTGTTTACCCTTCGGCGTGAAGGGGTTAAAGGGATGAGGGTGGCAAGTCTGGCTGCGACACCGGTAGTTCCACCACTGTCTTGTAGATGTTACTGGCAGCATTGGCAGTCACCTGGCTGGGATCACAAGACTTAACACGCCCAGCTATTGATTGACAGGTGGGTGTGTGAGTTATGGAGGACTAGACTGAGCATGGCAGATAGAATCATGGGAACTGTAGTTTCCAGTGGGAGATGCAGATGTCAAAATTGGCTGCAGAATGGAGCTCCATTTTCTACAGAAATGTGACCTCCAGTCCCACTTTTTTTTTTCATTTTTAGTGTACTTTAAAGTATTACTTAAAACCAGACCCTGCATTCACTATATCTGCTCTCCCCCCGGACCCTGCATTCACTTATCTGGTCTCCCTGGACCCTGCATTCACTATATCTGGTCTCCCAGAAGAACCCTGCATTCACTATATCTGGTCTCCCTGGACCCTGCATTCACTATATCTGGTCTCCCAGACCCTGCATTCACTATATCTGGTCTCCCAGGACCCTGCATTCACTATATCATTGTCTCCCAGGACCTGCATTCACTATATCTTGTCTCCCAGGACCCTGCATTCACTATTATCTGGTCTCCCCAGACCCTGCATTCACTATATCCGGTCTCTCAGGACCCTGCATTCACTATATCCGGTCTCCGCGGACCCTGCATTCACTATTTCTGGTCTCCCCGGACCCCGCATTCACTATATAACGGTTTCCCTGGAACCCTGCATTCACTATATCTGGTCTTCCCGGACCCTGCATTCACTATATACGGTTTCCATGGACCCTGCATTCACTATATCTGGTCTCCCCGGGACCCTGGCATTCACTATATCTACTCTCCCCAGACCCTGAATTCACTAGAATCCACTCTCCCCGGACCCTGCATACACTATTTGTGGTCTCCCCCAGGCCTGCATTCACTGTAGCCGGTCTCCCCGGACCCTGCTGCATTCACTTATATCTGCTCTCCCCTGGACCCTCATTTCACTATATCTGCTCCCCGGACCCTGGCATTCACTATATCTGCTCTCCCTGGACCCTGCATTCACTATATCTGCTCTCCCCAGACCCTGCATTCACTATATCTGGTGTCCCTGGACCCTGCATTCACTATCTGCTCTCCCCGGACCTTGAATTCACTATATCTGGTCTCCCTGGACCCTGCATTTACTATCTGCTCTCCCTGGACCTTGAATTCACTATATGCTGGTCTCCCTGGACCCTGCATTCACTATATCGAGTCTTCCCGGACCCTGCATTCACTATATCTGGTCTCCCTGGACCTGCATTCACTATATCTGGTCTCCCAGAACCCGCATTCACTATATCTGGTCTCCCTGGACCCTGCATTCACTATATCTGGTCTCCCAGGAACCCTGCATTCACTATATCTGGTCTCCCAGGACCCTGCATTTCACTATATCTTGTCTCCCAGGACCCTGCATTCACTATCTTCTTGTCTCTCCAGGACCTCTGCATTCACTATATCGTCTCCCCAGGACCCTGCATTCACTATATGCTGGTCCTCCCCAGAACCCGTGCATTCACTATATCCGGTCTCTCAGGACCCTGCATTCACTATATCCGGTCGTCTCCGCGGACCCTGCATTCACTATTTCTGGTCTCCCCGGACCCCGCATTCACTATATACGGTTTCCCTGGACCCTGCATTCACTATATCTGGTCTCCCCGGACCCTGCATTCACTATATCTACTCTCCCCAGACCCTGAATTCACTAGATCCACTCTCCCCACCCTGCATTTACTAACCTGCTCTCCCTGGACCTTGAATTCACTATATCTGGTCTCCCTGGACCCTTCATTCACTATATATCTCCACATGATATGTCTTTTTAGGCGATAAGAGGGGGACAGTGGAAGAAGAGGAGGATCCGAGAAGACAGGATCAAACAGCCTTTTTACACAATGCAGAGGATTAAACCATTAGGTTCCACAGTAAGTATAACAAGCATGCTTTACTGAATATACAGACTGATTTTACTGTTGGGGGTTTAGTAACACTTTATTGTAACGGACAAGCAGAATGGAGCTCCACTCGACAGTAAACATGTGTCTGCAGCCATAGATTGGTTGTTACAATAAAGTTCACTAAAACAAAGTTGGAGTGGAGGTGACATGTTTCCTGTCCAGAGTGGAGCTCCAGTCTGCAGCCAGAGCCCTTTGAAAAGTATAAAAAGGATATATGTGATCAGGACACGGGTGACCTCCACTTCCTTGAGTTGTGTCCATTGGTTGATTGTTACATCAAGGCTAGGCTCACACCTATGCAGTTTGCATTTGACATGTTTCTGCATTGTGTTTTGCATTGCAGTTTGCATTTTTGCACCTGCATTTTTGATGCTTTTTACATTGGTTTTTTGTTGCTAGACAGATTTAAAATGCAAAATGCATCAGAACGTGGCAAAAAGGCAGCAAAAACGCACTACATGCTTTGCTGCAGCGTTTCCATTGAAGTCTGTAAAATCACAACTCCACTTTATACATTCAAAAAAAGTCCCTGACCCTTTCCAAAAAACACATCGGGTAAAAACGCAGAAATGTGAACCTGTCCCATAGCAAATCATGTTAAATGGACTGTAGTGCGTTTCTGCAAAACGCTGTGGAAAACACTTTGGTGTGAACAGGGGCGGACTGACCATTTGGAAACTCGGGCACTGCCCGAGGGCCGGGGGTCAGTAGTGGGCCCCATGAGATGCCCCTGGTACCTTTTTCATAGGCTTTTTTGAGTTTGGGCAAGGACACAGGGGCCCCATGATCCCCTATTGCCCGGGGGCCCCATGAGTTGTCAGTCCGCCCCTGGGTGTGAACCTAGCGTAAAGTGCGTTAAAGTTCTCGGCAGCACAGTGGCTAAATGGTTAGCACTTCTGCCTGGCAGTACTAGGGTTGTTGGTTTGAATCCCAACCACGGCACCACCTGCCTGTAGTTTGCATGTTCTCCTTGTGTCTGCGTGGGTTTCCTCCCACATTCCAAAGACATGCTGGTAGGTGAATTGGCTCCTGTCTAAATTGGCCCTAGTATGTGTATGTATGAATGTGAGTTAGGGACCTTAGAATGTACACCCCTTGAGGGTTAGGGACTGATGTGAATGTACAATATATATATGTAAAGCGCTGCATAACAGGTAAGCAGAGGGAGCTGTATTACACTGGGCTATAAATCCCCATGAAAAGCAAGCACAGTATGGGCAGCACAGTGGCTAAATGGTTAGCACTTCTGCCTGGCAGTACTAGGGTTGTTGGTTCAAATCCCAACTGCGGCACCACCTGCCTGGAGTTTGCATTTTCTCCCTGTGACTACGTGGGTTTCCTCCCACACTCCAAAGACATGCTGGTAGGTTAATTGGCTCCTGTCTAAATTGTCCCTAGTATGTGTATGTATGAATGTGAGTTAGGGACCTTAGATTGTACACCCCTTGAGGGTTAGGGACTGATGTGAATGTACAATATATATGTAAAGCGCTGCGTAAATTGACGGCGCTATATAAGTACCTGAAATAAATGAGTACTGCTTAGACCTGAAGAAGGGGACATTCCCCGAAAGCTTGTCCTCAAAATATATGTTAGTGCAAATAAAAAAAGTATCACGGACAGTACTCAATTGTTCCTGAAATAAATAAATAAATAAAGCGTAGTGGAGGTCACATGTTTCCTGTTGAGTGGAGCTCCACTTTGCAGCCTCTGCTTGTTTGTTACATTAAAGTTCACTAAAAAGAAAAAAAAAAGGAGTGGAGATCACCTGTTTCCTGTGGAAAATGGAGCTCCATTCTGCAGCCAGACCCTCATCGCAGATGCTCGCACAGTGACGGGAAGTGACGTGCCAGCTCTGCACAGCTCCTCCCACCATCACTAGCAGTATCTAGCAGAGGAGGAATGGTGGGGGGATTAGAGACCCCAATGGCATCTATATGGTAGGAAAATCCTCATCTCATTTCTAACATCCATTACCATGTGTACCTGGAAGGTGTTTATTGAAAGCTGTACTAAAAGGAGCATGCTGTCTATAGTTGTCTGCTCTCCTCCTGCAGAATGGCCGTGAAATCCTGCCCCCCTCCCCTGTGTGTCCCCCCAGGATGAATGGAGATGACACCTGTCCTCGTATGGCTGAGCTTCCGCCGCCAATCACATCCTGTATCCCCTCTGTGCGCCCGGCATTGAAGGCGTTAACTGCTTTCAGGGAAATCCTCGGCTGGAGCTCGGCGCTTGGCTAGTTTTCCCTGAATGCGTCACTGATCCTGCACATGTGCAGTAGCTGCGGGCGATACCAGTCTTCACGGGATACACGGTTTACTTAGGGTTGCCACGTCATCCCTTTAAAACCGAACACATATTAAAGCGGGGTTCCACTTATGCTGTCAAAAAATAAAAGTCAGCAGCTACAAAAACTGTAGCTGCTGATTTTTAAAAAACAGACACCTGTCCCTCAGTCCTGTGGTGTGTCCCCCGCAGCCCGTTTCACAGGCCATCCTGTATTCCTGGAACCTTCAATGTGGGCACCCGGCTGTGATAGCTTGCGGCTTCACAGCCGGGTACCCACTGCGCATGCGTGAGTAGTGCTGCGCTTCCTGAATGGTCCTGTAGTCTTCTGGGACCTGTCACATGTCCCAAAAGACTACAGGGAGGAGGACACCTTCCACTTCCAGTTGCCTAGGCAATCAAACTGGAAGTGGGAGCGGTACCTGTCAAATCACATATCACTACACCGGCCCGTTGCCAGTGTCATGTGACCGCTGTGACCAGTCACAGCAGATCACATGTCAATTGTATACAATGGATGGCTTCCTGTCATGCCATTCATTGTATACAACTGTGTTGTTACCTGTGACTGGTCAAGGCAGTCACATAATACAGAAAGGGCCAATCACAGTCCATCTGTATCATGTGATCAGCTTTGCCCAATCACAGCTAATCATAACAAAAGACTGAATCATTCAGTAACAATGATTGCAAATATCCATGAAATACATTGGTATGAGCAATCATAATGTGTAAAAAAAAAAAAAAAAAAAAAACCTGATCACTTGCCCAGAGTAGTCCAATGTTACTATGGCTGTGGGCACAGTGTGCTGAAAAATAAAATAGTAAAAAAAAGAAAAACTTTAATAAAAAATAATAGAAACATTTGAAAAAAAATACAAATTCAATTATTATTATTATTTTCACCAAATAAATGCAACAGAATACATTTTGACCTAAATTTAAGAAGAAATGTTATTTATTTGCAAAATTGTATAACAGAAACTAAGAAAAGTGCATTTTTTTTTCAAGTTTCAAGTGTTTTTTTTTTTTTATTCAGCAAAAAAATAAAAAAACTCAACGGTGATTAAATACCACCAAAATAAAGCTCTATTTGTGTGAAAAAAAATTATAATAAATTCATATGGGTACAGTGTTGCATGACCGCGCAATTCTCAAAATGCGACAGTGCTGAAAGCTGAAAATTGGCCAGGAAGGGGGTATAAGTGCCCGGTGTTGAAGTGGTTAATATGTGTTCGGTTTTAAAGGGATGAGGTGGCAACCCTAGTTTTACTGTTACACCTGATCTCATAGGTGAGGAGGAGGGTGGCGGTAGAGGTAGTTTGGGGCGGGGCTGTAAGTAGGGGGTGGGGTTATCAGTACAAACCCCAGCCATGTTGCTGCCTGGGATGTTTGGAATCCCAAGCGTTTACATTGTCTTCCTCTATATTGGAGGCCAGCAACCAGTAGATGGTGATCCAGCAGTAGACCGTCGCCAGGTGACTGGTAGATCTCGGTCACGTGTTCCTAACACGCCATCCCAGATCATCAAACAGATTGCAATGCAGAGGGACTACTTGTAAAGTTGGAGCTGTAGTAGGTAACAAGCCGCATAGGTGGATGCCTCCTCTGTAGTGCCGACTCCTACTGTGGTGGAACGTGGCATCCTACCCCAGCCCTTCTCACCAACTGGTGACCGAAGGACCAGCCGATCTCACACCACGCTGTCACTTGCCTAACAATGCCCTTCTCAGCTGCGCCCTGCACAAAGATTTTCCAGCTCGTGGGACTACAATCTATGTGCCAGCAGCCTGAGAGTGATGGTTACTGGGTCAGGTTAATTATGCAATTAACCCTTCTCACTGCCACCACCACCTTTTTACAGAGAAGGAGGAAACTCACAAATCTTAGCAGTAACACTATGATATTAGTATAAGCGTCTGTAACACACTGTCACCACAGACAGGGATATTCAGAGGATTATTACATACGGGAGCACTCTTCCAGGGACGGGGATATTCAGAGGATTATTACATACGGGAGCACTCTCCAGAGACAGGGATACTCAGAGGATTATTACATACGGGAGCACTCTCCAGAGACGGGGATATTCAGAGGATTATTACGTACGGGAGCACTCTTCCAGGG